TTTTTTTTTTTGGTCTCTTTCTATTATGTGCTATGAGTTCATACTCAAATCCATTCATGGAAATGCCTTTGCTTACCTTTTTGGAATAATAGCTAATAGAGGTGAGGGACATATACGTTATACAAATAGGTAGCGAAGTGCCTTTGAATACTTTATTGAGGCATCAAAATAATGGAGTCTACTGAGAAAGAGTTGACAATGTCAGACTGCAAGACCCGGCCTATATTTGAAATGTATTGGCCTCTTGTAATGTTTTGGGGTGTATTTGGGTGTCTGTTTATTCTTAATTTTCTTCTAATAGGACAGTTGGGATGCACCTGCCAATACCAGCAAATCTTTATATTCCTGTGTAAACGTTCGTTGTGCCACGATGGCTGTTAGTACAGACAAGTTATAATACAGGACCCCTTGCTTCTCTTCTGTGTTTATAGAGCTTTCTACTTGTGACTTCTTTCCCATGTCTCTTCTCATAACACCATCGTTTTGATTATTTGGAGATGGAAAATAAATTCGGGTTTTTTCACATCTGCAGGATACTTGTGAGGCAGTAACAGTCTGTGTTGCTTGCTCCAAGAACCCTAGCTAACTCAAGGTGCTTTATGCTTTTCGTGAGCATGAGAGCTACGCAACAAATACCTTTTAATAACAGCTCGAGCCAACTGCCAAAAGAAGAAAACGAATGCTTGCAGACAAGCACTTCCTTTACTGAGAGTGCATTTCAGTGCTCTCCCTGGCTAGTGATGTGCAGTTTGGCTAAGCTGTGAAAATATGTAATTCTTCATAAATAAACCTGTTTGAAATTATGAGAACATGTTTTAAGATGTAAATTTCCTAATTGTGGAATATAGAGCAGTATTCAGTCATCATGTGCTCGCTGCCAGAAAGTTAAAGAAAGCCACTGAACAGAGGAGGAATCTTCCTAGCTGGTTACCTGGGGTCAGTTTGAGGAAGTAGAAAAACAACACTGGACAGTTGTAGCCTCTTCTGTAGCCTCCTCTTCAACTTTTGTTGGGAGGTGGTGGGGTGCTCATTTCAGGTTAGCCCAGGTAAGACAGTAGCTAATTTTTATCTAAGAACAGCAAGAGACCTTTTTTTTTAGGAGTAATAATTTCGTAAGAAGCTAGAGCTTTCAGATGTAAGTTCTTCAGTGGTAACCAAAAAGAGTTGATGCATTTTGCTCACTGTAGTAAGCCAAGTCATGAATTACGTTTCTGTTGTCTTCTCTAGTGGATCTAGTACATCGAAATGACCTTTGTTTAATGAAAACAGTATTCAAATACTTCTTTCCTGCTTTTCTAAAGGAGCTCCTTTTTCACTTGAAGCTGAATTCAAATGCAAAATATTTACTCATTGGTAGATCTGTAATATAATAAAATGTCAGAGTTAATAATGTGAATGTGTATGTTTAAGTGCTCTGACTATTTGCGTGCATCCACCTGGCTACAAAAGAAGGTGCCAAGCTGGCCCACTGCCCCATCCCAGGCAGAGCCTGGATTCCCTCTTCTGGGACTAAACGTAGCCCCAAGAGCTGAAGGCCACCAGCCTGCTCACATTCCAGGCCAGAAACTCAGCATTGCTGTGGCCACCGCTTCTGCGGTGGGGGCAACAGGAGGGGAGCAGCAGCAGCTGTTGCTTTTGACAGCTTTCACAAATGGTGACTTACTGTGCGTGGTGGTTTCTGAATGCTTTACTTTATGGCCTCATAAAAAGCAGGGTTGGACATGTAGGAGCTACACATATGGTCGAATCTTTACTTTGAATCTACAAAATGTTGTACTCTTAAAAAAAATTATCTCAGATTAGGCAACCAAAGCTAGTCATTGTTTTGACTATTTTAATTTTTTTCCTCATCTCCAAAAACTGTGGACAGTAAGAACAGTGAAGTGTTGGGATGGCGTAGTGATAAAAGCTCATGAGATAAGGTGGGATATGTACCTTCTTTTTGCATGAGCGAAATATTAACAGCATAACAAAAAAATTGAATAATTGTTTGCTAGATTAGAGTTTTTCCATTCATTGCTGAGGTGAATTATGGGTTCTAAGTTTTTAATTAATCTTATATAACCTATTACATTTTTAGAGTGAATATGAAGAGGATGCATGGATTTGAAATATGGAATACCTCATAACAATGGGGATCTTGGTTTGGGGGGGGTTCCCTCTTTAAAATAGCCCTAAATCACAGAATTTCCATACATGCATAATTGTAGCAGAGCACCAGCACTTGCTTTTTTTTGTATTACAGCAAGAAACTTTATGCAGGATTTGTTGAATCTTCTATCATCAATTTTCCACAGAATTGTAAAGGCATAAGATATGTTGTCCCAGAGAGTAAGAGCTGAAATTTAGTTACATTTTCCATGTCCCAATGAAGAATATTTCAGCAGTCTTGATACTGTACTCCATTTGCAAAATCCTTGCTCAGGGAGGAGAAATTATTGTAAGGAACATGATCTCTTTGTGGATGAGTTCTTTCTGCCCCAGTATAACTCAAAATTGAAAGCACTTACCTGAGTGTTTCTGCCAATCAACTTAGTTATGTTAAATATTTTATATGTTTAGAAATAAGCCAGAATTTTTTTTCAGCTAGTGAGAAAAAGTTTCTGTGAAAAAAAACAAAAGGACAGATTTTGGTATCGGTGCAGGTGATTAATTTTATATTACTTTTCTTTGTTTCATATTCAAGGCTTATATGAATCCCATAGCTATGGCCAGAGCACGAGGTCCTGCCCAAAATTCAGGACCAACAATACAAGACTACTTGAACAGGCCAAGACCAACATGGTAAGTTGGCAATAGTTGTCTGCCCTTCTGACCCTTTGAGTAAAAGATTTGTTCCCTCTTGCTGAGATGACACTGGTACCTAACTTCTCCCCAGAATACCCAGTAATATATTTTGAAAGATTCCTTGTTTCTGGCACTGGCCCAGTTACTCTTTTCTAAATATGTATTCAGTGTCCTCTTTTAAAAACAATAGTATTTCATTTTGGAATGTGTCTCATTTGTCTTTAAGTATTTTGGCAATTGTATCTCAGAAGAGGAGAATGTTGATCATTTTACCTCTTTCAAAAATCCTAATACCTAAAGCCTGCAGATATAGTTATTTTTTTTAAAAAGCTATCTCTAGAAAATAATTTTGCTGGTATATTCTTAGAACACAGTTTACCCTACCCAATAAAATCAACACTTTGAGATTTTATCAGTTTACATTCAGTCCATTTTGCCTCCTCTCATAAGGCATTAGAGAACGATTTACCTAATTGCAAAGTTAGCTTTAGATCTTTCAGAGGAATTTAGCTACCATACTTATGGTAACCTAACTCTAATATGTATAACATCTCATATGTTTTCATTCTTCTTTCTGTTGGAAGTTCAACCAAAGCTAAACTTCAAAAAACCCTATAAAAAGTTAGACGCTGAATAAGGTATTTTAGCTGTGAAAATTGTGATCTATCATCCTTTTTATGCAGGGAAGAAGTGAAAGAGCAACTAGAAAAGAAAAAGAAAGGATCCAGGGCTTTGGCTGAGTTTGAAGAAAAGATGAACGAGGTGGGTAGTGTTATTAGCTTGTTAATACTTGATTATCTTATATGCTACTTTTCTGCCATTATCATTAATGGCACCAAGTACCCATATGATTTTACTTCACTCAAGCTTTTAATGAGTAAATGTTTTGTTTCATTTGTATCAGAAATTAAGGTTACCACTTGATGAAGAGCTATTCTCAGTTCAGAGAAACACTATCTAAAAAGTTTTCAAAATTGCTGCTGAATAAAGCTTGAACTTTTCATAAATGTAAATATAGCTATACAAACACATGTGTTTATTTAAATAAATTAAACTTGTACATTTTCTGGTATGAAAAACGAAGTCTGTTTTGGTAATCTTCACTTGTTTAAGGTCCCACAATCCAGATACATTGGAAAGATGTGTATTACTGGAAACGGACATCTTTGGCAGAGAAAGTACACATAGTATTAATATGGGAGAAGGCACAAAAAAATGGCCTTCAATACACAGATAGGACTAGGAAGCACTTCTTTCTCTCTCATTTGAAGCTGACTGCATTCCATACTAGTTCCCTACTTTAAATGCAGCTGCTCTGATGCTTGTGTTCCATGCCCATTGGAGATCAGGACAGTGTAAGAAGGTTTCACATATAACTGCTGTTGCATACATAGGAAGAAATTAGTATATAATGAATTTAACTGTGCCTGTTCCTTCTTGGGTTCTGGTATCTTGCGATAAGCTTCAAATAGTAGTCTTCATCGTTGTGTGTGTTTCTGGTTGAAGCAGTTTATGCTCCCCCTTTGTTTCTGGAAGGGCATAGTACCCATGGTACTTTTGCTATACCATTTTGCCTAAAAAGTTTTACCAGTATTTGGAGGGTCACACACACTGTGCTATCCTGAGAGGATCAGTTTTCTGCACTCTGTGAGTTTTAGCTTGGTAAGTTTGGTTTAGTATTTTATCATGTTCCTTTCCTGCTTTTATCTTTGCTTCATTGTGAAATAATTGGAACTGTCATGGATACAAGATAACAGCCTTTCAGTATGGCAGAAGGGTAGGAGGGGATGCATGGAATCGTGAAATGAGTTCTTCCTAAAGCTCCTAAGAACTAATCTCTAAACTGTTGAAAAGATTACAAGTTTCTGAATGAGATGCTATCTCTCCTATTTTACTGACAGATGTTGTGCTTTTTTATTTAAAACATTAGACTAACACAGTCTTAAAATAATTTTAAGAGAACGCCTGCCTAATAAAGCACAGGCTGTTGTTAATCTCTCAGGTAGCTCTGGGTAGCTGATATATCAAAGTACACAACCCACTGCAGTACTGCTGCCTTAGCCCATGGAAGCACGTTATACACAGCACTATATGCTGGCTAATCTGCCGTGTCTCTCGGCAGCAGTGTTCAGCTAATTCACAGTGTGCTGACTTGGGGATCTGTGTTATCATACTTCGTCACACAGGTATAATCTTACTTAATTCCTGGTACTTCTGTCCCTTCAGCACGATATGCAGATTATCATTGCTTTCCCAATATGATACCAGTACAGTTTCATTGTGAGGAAAGGGAGGATCGGAATAGCAGTAATAAGAAAGGGAGCGCGTGATGTGTCTGGCGTGGGAAGCGGGAATAGTGCAGATTGAAGCTTAGCAGCCTCTCTGTCTGATGGGGGCGGGTTGGATGTTTCAGAGCTTTCCTTGAAGGGCGGATTTTAGGCAGACTAGAGACCCTGTGAGGGATTGAAAAGGAGGAATGAGGGGAAACTTTTATCCATGTGGTGTGCTTGGCCTAACAAAAATAAGAGCATTTCTATAAAGGTGTGTATAATAATGTAATCTAATCGTTCTTGACACTGACAAGGCCCAGAACAGACATCCATACACTGAAGAAGAGCCAGAAGAATTTGTCTTTAATTTTCTTCTCAGGTGATTTTAAAACTAAGACAACATAGCAATTTTCCTGGTAGGGTGCCCTGGCTTTCTAAAGTGCTGTGGCAAGAATACTGTGATACAAAAGCAAAAATACCATAATTGATGACCTTCGGGATAAATTACAGTCTCTGAGATCCAAATACCTTGAACATCAAGGTGTGAACTAACATGGTATTTCGGTGAATATTAATCTTCTGTAAAATCAAATGCATTATAGCCTTGGTTAACATTATATGTTGTTTATTTTCTGTGGGTTCTGTGAAAACTGTAATGTCAGGTAGGGGGCAGGATTTCAAAAAAGGTCTCTTAAAAGAAGCCGTTTGGAAATGATGCTCAGGTCACTGTTTCTGTTTGGTTTTGTTTTCAGAATTGGAAGAAGGAACTGGAAAAACACAGGGAGAAATTACTGGGTGGAAACGAGAGTTCCTCCAAAAAGAAAGAGGTAAGTTATTTTCAATTTCATACAGTCTGTGTTGGATTTATCATCAATGCTGCCGATACAGAATGCCATAAATACATTTTAAAAGCCAAAATCAAAGTGCATAAACCTAAATGCACAGCGAAAGAACGTGATGCCAGAGTAACATTTGTTTTATTCTATTTTTAAGAAAAAGAAAAAGGAAAAGAAGAAATCTAATAGGGTGAGCAAAATTTTCAGTCTTCTGTGCTTTTTTGCTTTGGGGGTGTTCCTATTTGGCATTTAAGTTCTCTTGGAAAGTGAGAGTGTAGCTATAATATTGGATTTAGTTGTTAACTGATTTTTATTTGAGAGGGGTGGCATACATTCTGTACAAGGAGAATTTTACTTCTGCTTAAAGGGAGGGGAAGAGCATTAAATAGATATTATTAAATGAAAATGTTAAAGTTACTTTTTACAGTTTTATTTAAGAAACTCTGTGTAGACCAGCTTCTTGGAAATAAAATTCCATTGATAATACTTTCTGAAATAAGACATTTTAAAGGGAGTGTTGGGATGCTCTTTTGACTGTTTGCCAGACAAAAATGCTGCATCTCACAAGCTTCACTTTTTGTTGTGTTTGGTCAAGTTGTCTTCATCTTCCTCTTCTTCATCAAGCTCTGATTCTTCCAGCAGTTCATCTGATTCAGAAGATGAGGTAAGAACTAACTTACTAGAATCGAACGTGTTTTGTTCATGACGCTTATTTGACACAGATTTTGGTAATATATTTTGAGAATGTTGTTTGAGGGCTTGGTTTGCATAAAACTACTCAATTTTTATGCATTTGGTACATAAAGCTGTGAATGTTAAGTATGTATTGAAGAATTTCTTGATGAACACTCTAAATTTTGAGCAGCCAGCTAGTAAACTGGATCTTTTTCTGTTTTAACATTGAATTGTATGCTTTTCAGTAGAATCCCCCATCTAATCATAAAAATGCAAACATACCATTTTTACTTTTTGGCAAAAATCTTTGTTACAGATAATCAGATTCTACAGCACACATGTAAATACTAAACAGAATCTAGAGAACTTGGATTTTTCACCAGTTTACATTTTTTCAATGCAGAAGAGTTCCTCCACTAAAGGAATCAATTGTAGTGTACTTTATTCCTCAAGAGAACATGATAACATGTAGGAATTTGGTGTTTCCTATTCTTTATATTTAATGTCTTTCGTTTGAGTGAGAATAAATTCAGGGTTGTTTTTCTCTTTTTTTTTTTTCCTACAATATTTGTGGATAGGATAAAAAGCAAGGGAAGAAAAGAAGGAAAAAGAAGTATCGCTCCTCACGGAAATCTTCAGCAAGCTCATCTTCTGAATCCGAGTCAGATAGTAAGGTAAATATGTAGATATGTTATCCTTGGCAAGTTTTCTTGATCAGTGTTATAAAGACATAAACATTAAGAATTGTAGCTTGTCAATATTATTTTGTCTTCCAAATTTAAAGCCGTGCATTCTTACTGCATCTGAGCCATGCTTGTATCTTCCAGATGCAAACAGGAATCTACTTCCATTAGCCACAATATCTGGCAGAAATTATTTGATCTTTAGAAAATAAACATGCTTTATTCCAGCAATTTTCAGCTATTTTTCTGATTTCAAACATATGCAGCTTTTGTGCTGCTCAAATGTTTAGTTTTAATACTATGTTAACACCTAAAAAAATAAAATGGTCTGTGAAATTCTTGTGAACATGCTATTGAACACTGGCTGTGAAAATACAGGTATTGCAGGATATCAGTGACCAGAATATTGCCTTTCTAAATATCTGTAAACTGAGTAGTTTGCTTTTGGAGAAATGCTTAATAAACTGAGGGTGTCTTTCACTTTTTCTGAAAGTAGAGCAATGTAGGTACACGGTCTTACTGAATGAACAGAAAAGTGGAAAAGATATATGAGGCAATTTGTTCTGTTATGTTAGCGTTTTTCTGTGTTATAGTGGATAGTAACTACTTCTTGCCTAAATATTAATAATACACCGAGTTGTTAAGATTCTGTGTGTAGCCTTTATCACAGGATTTCACTGGAATACCTAATTCAGTGTGGTATAAATTGTGATGAATCACTGGTTGTATACACCTACTAAAATTTGTGCTAATGGGAGTTTGAAAACTTTGCCCCCCTTGCTGCTGAAATTGGAAGGCAGAAAACTCCATGGAAATATGTGCTTAACCCCTGCCTGATCTATGGAGGTGGGCATGGATAGAGAATAAAGACTCCAGACTGTTATATTTTATATATATATTTGTGGTTACAGTAGCTGTAGCTGTATCCTTTCCAGAGGTTTGGTACATGTACTGTAAGTACTCTATTCCATGTACACGTTCTCACACTGCTGGTTCAGAAAGTCAGCAGCTGCATCAAAATTACGGCTTTTTCATAATTTTCCTATTAACTGCAAGTTAGAAAGAGCTACACTGAAGAACAACCTTCAGTAGACTGAAAAAGACAATGGGTCAGACTGCTTTTGGGAGTTCTGCCTTTTTCCTGAAATAATTTTGTTATGGTTTATGTTTTTCTTTCTATTTAGGACAGCACAAAAAAGAAAAGGGCAAAGGAAGATTATGAAAAAGAAAAGGTATTTTTACTTTTGAAATACTTACATTAGAACTGCTTTTTACATACATAACAGAGCACTCTCTTTCTAAAAATATTGAATGCCTCAGTTTACACCTATGGAAATTTTTTGTCCAAAACTGCACAGTCAGAAGATACTCAGTACCACCAATTTTGAGGTAGACTTTTAGTTGGGTTCAGCTCCTGTTTTAGTAATTGCTAGTAAAAACTGCTGAATCTGTTCTTCTTATGAAGGTAAATGAAAAAAGTATCTAATCTGCTATAGTAGATCAGCTGCATTTTAGTATTTTGGGCTTTATCTTGAGAAGTCACATTGAGCTAAAAATATGTATGGTGATATTTCAGTGGCATGCCTGATAGGATACTGGCTTGTTGCTGTAAATTAAGGAACATCAAGCAGAGGATATATTTATCTAAATGTAGTCATAATTATAGATTTTGTACTTACAACAGCTTTGAAAAATTGCAAAGAAAAATTACCTTATTCTGTTTTTTCGTTAAGCATGAAAAACCCTCTCTCCTTCCCACCACCTCACCATTTTGTACACACATCTGAGGACCATCTTCCATCATTATGTTTAATGTAAATAATCTTATTGACTTAAATTTTAGTTATTTGTACCCTGTGTGTAAGCTAACAGTGCTTTCAGGGTCCACCAGTTAGCTCTCTCATCACATCAGCCTCTACCCCTGCAGTCAACAGTGTTGACTTTGATGTACAAATTCTCCATTGCATGAGGCAAATGTGTTGGTTCCACCCCCCACCCCCCCTTGCTCCTGCTTCCATTTCACAAAGTTTCTATTTCCCACAAACCTTTTGAGTAGCTTCTCTTCAAAGACCAAGTGTCTGCTATAGCCCCTTATTGTAATGCTACTTTTGCACATCTTCTGAAAGTGAAGGGTATTTGGGGACTAGAGGTCTTCCTCTACCTGAAGATCCTTGATGTCTCCAATGGGCTGCCTCATGTGTACTTTTCAAGAGTACTCTTGTGAAAGAATTGAGGTACCTCTAATAGCACAGCTGAGGTGTGTGATCCCACCTTGCGAAAAAGGTTATTAGCAAGATTTTTTTTTTGGTTTCTGGTCTTAGAAATTGAATGGAAGAAAGTAGCTTCAGTTTTAGGAACACCTGGCCTGGTCCAGAGCAAAGGGTGGGGAAGTAGCTCATCAAAGCAATCTCATGCAGCATTAAAAATTTTAAAAATAATAAAGACTGTCCTTTAGATATACTGAGATTATAGATGAAGAATTGAAGTGCAGCTGGCAGGGACAGAATACACAAGGAGGTTTTTCTTTCATCAACAAAGCAAGAGGCTGATGCTGCAGAGTTTGTATGCACATACTGAGAAATAAGAAGCACATGGACCTGTTGGAGCTAGCCCGGAGGAGGGCCATGAAGATGATCAAGTGGCTGGAGCACCTCCCTTATGAGGACAGGCTGAAAGAGTTGGGGTTGTTCAGCCTGGAGAAGAGAAGGCTCCAGGGAGACCTTACAGCAGCTTTCCAGTACATAAAGGGGGCCCGCAGGAAAGATGAGGAGAGACTTTTTACAAGGGCATGTAGTGATAGGACAAGGGGTAATGGCTTTAAACTGAAAGAGGGTAGATTTAGATTAGATGTAAGGAAAAAATTCTTCACTGTGAGGGTGGTGAGACACTGGCACAGGTTGCCCAGAGAAGCTGTGGCTGCCCCCTCCCTGGCAGTGTTCAAGGCCAGGTTGGACGGGGCTTTGAGCAAACTGGTCTAGTGGGAGGTGTCCCTGCCTGTGGCAGGGGGGTGGAACAAGATGATCTTTAAGGTTCCTTCCAACCCAAATCATTCTATGATTCTATGATCTTCTTTTACTCATTATTATTTAAAAGTGTTGAAACATTTTATCTTCAAATGCTTACAGCTTCATTATTTACAACATTATAACATATCAATGTTATTCTTTAAAATAAGTGACTATGCTGTAGTATTATCCCTCTCACTTTTAGAAGGCCACTGTATCTTGGTAACAAGAGAAGGGAATATACAAAAAAAGATGGTTTCCCCTAAAAGCATTTTAATAGTTGGTAGGGTAATTTCTTGATGATAAGTAATTAGTTTATTGTCAACGATATTTAAAAATACTTCACAACATAGAAATAATTCAAGTTTTAAGCAGAAGTTTTATAAAATTCAAAAGGCCTGATTTTACTCACAAATCTATTACTTGGTGTAGGAAGGTAAAAATCACCCCAGGAAAAGGAAGAAAGCCGATCGTGGTGATGGACCTTTATCATCGGAATCCTTATCGGAATCAGATCAGACAGAGGAGGTCAGTGTGAAACATCAATTTCAGATGTTATAAGTGAATGAATCAACTAGCTTAGATTTAATATACTGTTGAAATTCTTCTGCTCTGTACAGCCTTACAACATACAAAATTGTTTGTATTTTTCTCTTTATTAAACTTTTAGTAAGAACTGTTCAGTACAACCTCTATCACCTACAAGTCATTTTGAATTCATTTCCTTGAAAATTTTCAAGTTTTTATAGATATTTTAGAGCTCAATGAAATGAGGCTAAGTGGTCTGGTGTCCTTTGCAGGATTTCTCTGGTGTTTGTGAATAGATTGGCAGATATCAAGATAGCTAAAATTTTTTGGCTTCCTTTTCCAGTGAACTAAAAAACTTTGGATGTAACAATCTTACTCTCAGCCTTGTGTATATCTACTTTGAGAGTTTGTATTCTTGTAGGATTAGAACATTTGGGAAGGTTTCAATGTGTTGCGTTTTTTTCATTAAGAATTTTTGCCACATCTGCTTATCAGTTTTACCTTTGTAATTCTGCTGTTTCTTGTTCTGCTATGCATTAAAAGCAGAGTGTGTTCCCAAATCGGATTTTATAGGATAATGCATATTCTAGAATATAGCACAGATAATCAGTATTTCTTCCCGGGTTATTGTTCAGTATGTTCTGCCACTGTTGTGCCATCATTCATTTATATGCAATAAAAGCTCAAACTTTTATTTAAAAGAGCATTTCCAAAGCTTCTTTCCTGTTACAATTTATTTAATTTTTTTTAGGTGCAAGCAAAAAAGAAGAAAAACAGCGAGGAAAAAGAGAAAACAGCAAGTATCCTTCTTACTCATACTGTAGTTTTAGGATATAAATACTCCATACTTGGTTAATTTCCAATTTCACCTGTTTCAGTAATACAAATGTTTTATAGCAAAAGTCTACTGTCACATGAATGTAAATTAATAATTTTTCTATTTACCTGCTGTAGTCACTTTTTTGGTTGTTGAGTTAAAGGAGGAATTAGTCACTGTTTTACCTATATAGATATTTATGATTTATATAAGTTTAACACTTACTGTAGCATATATTTACTAGTTTAACCTACTGGAACTACTAATCTCTGTATAGTATCAGGTAGGGTAGCAGTTTGCCATACAGACGTTAGTGTTGTTCCTTTGTCGTGTTGTGTATAGTCCTTCCTTGGTAAGCCCCCTCTACCACACCATGGAAAGGGCCATAGGACATAATCGCTGAAACATCTACACTAATATAATTCTTCCCCCAACCAAATAAAAAGCTGTCAACAACCTGTTACTTTTCTCAGTTTTGTTCATTTGTTTATGTTGATAAAAGTGAGAGAAAGGTTCAGCAGGGATTTATATAGAACCCAGATTCATCACGTGTATCTGAGGCTCCTCATTTAGGAGCGTAGTGATTTTGAGGCCCTAAATGCCCACTCAGGATGTCTGTGTATCTTTCTGTCTCCCCTGTCAGCAGCAGTGTTCCTAATTGGACATTTCAGTTGTCTAGATGTCAGGGTGAAAGGAAGTTTTACATTAGTCACGTAAAAATACAAGCATAGGGGTATCAGTGGCAGAGGGGTGTCGATACACATTTTCCATGGAACTCGTATTTCCATAACCTATAAGCTGTTTGCCATAAAATTTGTAGTGAATGATTGTGGGTTTTTTCTTAGAAATGTGTGTGTAAGTAATATGTATAAAACAAAGCTTTTATACCAAGATTGTTTTGTTGATACAATGTTACATGTATTCAGGAATTCTGCTTGCAGAAAGACAAGATTGTATCTCTCAGCTTCTGTATTGCAGTGATAGAGATAGTAACTTGAGGACTGAATACAGTAGGGTTAATTGAGTGTATTCACATTTACAATTGAGATCATAATTGTTTTATTTTAAATGAGGTGCAAGTGCTGGAGACTTTTACTAAGTGTAATTGAACTATTTAATTTTGCACAGTAGATAGAAGCACTGGCTTTAAAATACATAAAGGTCCTAGTTATTTCCACACACATAAGGTGTCACTGCTTGTCAAAGCACTTCCATATTACTTTCTCAGAAATCTATAAAGCACTGAAAATCATTTAAAAGTTTAGAAATGTAATCATGACAGTGATGAGAGGTGTGAAATAGCCAGACCATGATGGAGATAAATTGAAGACTGCTTGTAATAGTGCAAATTACTGGGTAAAATATGAATCTTCTTTTTGTGATTTCTCATTAGGCTTTTATAGAAATCTCTTTTGAAATGTCTTTGTAAAGATATCCTTTCCATGTTCTCATTTTGCATGAGCAGAATATAATAGATGGCAATTTTATTATATAATAACTTCCATTTAATTTTATTATTTTTTTAGGATAAAACAAAAAAGAGAAAGAAGCACAAGAAACACAGTAAAAAGAAGAAAAAGAAGATGGCTGGTTCAAATTCGGATTCAGAATAATGTTTTAAAAAACCAAGACTATCAACAGAAGTGCAATGACTAAAGGAAACTTAAACTGTGAAATAACAGCAAACTTTACCAAACTGCATGAGTTTTCCTGTGTTTTAGAAATACTCCTAATCTTTCAGTAGCCAGCCCAATGCAGCTGTGCTGGGAAAGACCATTGTTATTGCCTGCTGCTTAATACATGGGGTACAACTTTTCTAAAATTCCAGTAAGCAGTGTTAGATGTTTGAAACAGTATGAGATGGTAGTCCAGCTGAGGTGTAAAATATTGGAAAATAACTTCTTAGGTAGTAAAAGTAGTCTTTTAAAGCATTAGTAATAGTCTTTATTTGTAAATCAGGACAAATAAAATCCCAAGTTCATCCTGCAGGTTAATATTATACATAAACTGTTACAAACTGGTGTCTGCTAATGGCATTTACAAAATGGGAAACTAATTATAACATTTAAAATGCTGCCTTTGTAGAAATGTTTATCATCTGCCCCATTACTGTCTTCATGCTTATGAAAAAGGGAATGCTACCATTTTGGCTAACTGAATAGGGTGCCTTTGCCTTTGGTTCTTGCAAATCTCTGCTATTTTTAAGCCATGCAGCATCTCTGATTCTAGAGAAGCCAGAACTATTGTCACCATACTTTTTCTAAATAAGCAATTCTGGGCTTCTAAGCATGTGCTTCTGCATTAAGCAAGAGCAATGACATGTTGCGGTATGACTGTCATTCAAAACCTGAAGATTTTACCTCTGCTTCTTTGAAATAGCGATAGATCTTTGCTAGTAAATATGCATATTTTGTTTAATGTACTTTTGGTTTAGTTGAACACTTCTTGCAAACACTGGTAGCTTTCTTTGCATTATCTTTAGAGTTGTTTTGCATGATTTGTACTATTTTTAAATTAACAAAATGCAGGTAATCGTTTGTTGTAACCAGTTCTATTAATTACGTTCCACATGCAGAGTTTCATGTATGTATTTAGTTATAGTTAAGTTCATTGCTGTGTTTAAGTGCACACTTGCTGAAGATATTTAGCATGTAAAAAGCAGGGTTTTGATACCTTAACAGCTTCATATTGAAGCTGATTTTACTCTAAGCAAGTTTAGTGGCAGACCTGTTACGTGATGTGTCTTGTTAGATAAAAAAAAAAAAAAATACTGCCAGAATCTCATTAAAGATACTGTTTAAACAGTTTGTATTTATATTTTTGTACTTGAGGGCTACAGAATGTTGACCCAAATCATAAAGCTGTTTTACTTCAAATTAGTTGCTTTAGAAATTGAAAAAAACTTTTTATAAATTAAATGTGCACACAGTAAGACACAAGCAACCATTCAATTTTAGGTTTTACATGAAATTCTCATTTTATTTTCCATTGAAGTACCCATTGCTGGGCCTCCTGTTAGCCTTTAACAACTGCTTATCTATCCCAAGTGGTCAACTATAGATCCACCCCTTTTTTCATTGCACAGGTGCTAATTTAGAACTTACCTCTTGCATACAGATGTTAAAACATTGTATTGCCAAGAATGTTGAGACCTTTAGGACCTTAGTCTGCAAACCATAACTAAAAACTGGGGGAGAAAGGTGATTTTTATATTGCTGTTCTGCAGAGAAACTGACTTTTCAAGTTAAGTTCTCAGGGAACATAACCATTGAGTTGCAGCAATGTCCCTCTAAACTGCAGTAAGAATATATCAATCAGATATTTTATACTGTTGAGCTTGATGTTACTGATTCTAGACACTGTTTTGTCAGTGAGGTTAAAATAAAGGCAAGATGCAGTGAACAGCAGGGCTTTGGTTTGGGGTTTGTGTTTGGTTTTGTTGGGGTTATGAAGTTGTGGTGTTGTGGTTTTGGTAAAAGAACTTGTAATGAACCGTAGCATAAGTGCTCTGCCCTGTGTGGTACCTTCGTTGACTTCTACACAACTGCCTGCAACAGAAGGAAATAAAAACGGAAACGAAGCCCCAGTCTTCCAGATAGATAAGCTAGTATGTCATTTTAGTTGTCTGATCAGCAGTGTGTGCTTCAATGCTGCTGTCGCTTTGGGAGCAATGTAGATGCTTAAGGGGCTCATGGGCTTTGTCAGCTTGCAGCAAAGCTGCTTCAGTACTGACCGTGGAGCGTTTCTGTTTCCAATGCAGATTAACAAATTTCCAATACAATTTCTAATTAACAAATATCCAGTACAATTAACAAATCCGTTGTGACTCCCCTTGCATTCTGTTTTTTCCTGAAGGAAGAATGAAGTCTTGTCACAACCCTTCCTCTTTCTGTATTTGTTTGTGAGCAGGTGATGCGGGTTTCGGGTGGCACCAGGCAACCTACAGGCATGGTCCACGTTTTAGCAGTGTGATGAAATAGAAAATGAATAATGTGGGAATAAAAGTGCTTTAATAGATGTCTGTCTCCTGACAGATGAACAAATGTATGTAATCGTTAATTTTCAGCTTTTCAGAAACATTTTTAGAAGTTGGACATGCAGCTGTTTTCTTTTCTACAACTGCTATTTTTTAATGTATGATGAAGTTTCTCTTTGTTACGCCTAGATCTGTGTGTTTAGGCGTGACCCGGCAGTGTCACCCAGCGGCAGTGTCGCAGCGCCGGGCCGCCCCGCCCGCGTTGCCGGGGCAGCGGCGACC